CAAAAAAAAGCAGCAGGCAGTGCCAGCCCTTTGCTGACGGTGGGAAATTTTTCTTTGCCACAACATTGGTTAATTAGAGAGCTGGGAAGTGCCTGGTGACAGTATCCTCTTTGTGCTGCTTATTTATTTATTTATTTTAAAGTACAGTACGAGCTTTTTGAGAGGCCTCATGTTTTCTCTGGCTCTGAAGAAATGCCATCACCCAGCACAATCAGCAGCCTGACGGGAACAAAGGACACTAGCGCTGTTGAACCCTGCATCGCATCCTGGTGGAAACTGGGGAGGAGCGGGACAGGAATCCAGGGAGCGCACAACCAGGTGTCGGAAACTCTACAGGGGTGCCTAGAAGGAGGCGTCTGTGTTCAGTTTAACACCTCGCATTGATAGGATAACGCAGGGAATAAAGGCAGGCAAGCAGAGGACTAGGAAGTTTACGCCGGTTGGGACCCCGCTGGGAGATCCCCAGGAGCCCGCAGGTAGAAGGGAGAGATTTAGAGTGTCTTTTCCTTTGCTCCGCGCAGGCGCAGGATTGTGCACATCCCCTGCAGAAAGAGGGGCCGGTGGCAGTCTCTGGCAAGCTGCAGCGGCCCGAGACAAAGAGGTGTTGGGACAAACAAAGCTCAGACAAGCCCTGGGAAGGCAGATCCACGTTCACATTGCTCTACTGCTTTGCTGAAATCAGGGAATTCAACTCCTGCTCCTACCTACACGCCTTCTGGATTTCTGGTATTGAAGACCTCTATTTACAGAGATGCTGCACTAAGTTTGCCCATGCTTGTCACAGCTACAAGCTGTATTAAGTTACTACAGCTTCCCTTACAGCTCAGTCCACGCCTCAGTTCTCCCTTTGCAGCTGTTGATAACCGCCGTGAGAACGGGCCCAACCGTAACTTTGGACCGTTGGCCTGCAGGCAGTCTTCTCTATCTGCGAAGGGACTCGCAGAGCGAGCAGATGATCTGGGCACCGAAGAGACGTGACTCCCCTCGCCTCCAGACGCAAAGCTGTACCAAACTGCATCTCAGCTGCAAAACTAGGAACGAGTCCCAGTAATCCCAGTGCTGGCTACCGTGCCTGGTGCCAGCACACGTTCCCCACCAGCTCCTTCCACAAGCCCCACTCCCCAGAACAACGCTCAGAGCGCTTCCAACCAAAGCCCTCGTCTAACAGGAGCTGTTTTTCCCTAAAGCAACACCAGTTCCTTCCAAGTTGCGGTCAGATGTGACTCTGTGCTGATGTAGGCTTCCAGTGTGTTTTTTAGCTGCCTTGGGAAAGGAAAAAAGCTGTGCTGTCTAAAAACAGCCGTTTTCCTCTGGTGGAAGGCATGTATTTCAACGCGCTGGCATGGAACGGTAATTGAAATAAATCAGGGTGTGAATCATTCACAAAAGTCCTTCGTTACTTACCGTGGGATCTGTCCAGAGAGAGCACTTTGCACAGTCCTGGCAGGGAGCCCCGGGCGACCGGGGGTGTTGGCAGAAGTGGTCATACCCGTTAATGGCAGCCCGGCAGAGGTAGCACATCTGAGCACCGCAACGGCAGGACATGCGGTTGCAACCCTCCGATTTAATTAGGCCAGTCCCACACTTGTGGCATTTTCTAATTCGGGCGGCTGTCATTTTCTCTTCTCTGCAACGCAAGAGGAGGGAGAAGAATTAGAGAAGGGGTGTTTGCAGTCACCAGCCTGTGGCAAAATTACTGTTACGCTATCCCAGCAATGCTTTAAGCCCCCTTTCCCCGGTGCACCTCACCCCCTCCTCTTTCCTCCTACGCCATCCCCACGGTCCGCCGCTGTTCCAAGGAGGTCTGGGCTCAGCTCCACTTGGAGCCAACCCATGACAACTCAAGAACAAATTAAGTGAAAGAAAGTCAATCACTGGCTGCATGCTGCAGACCCAATCCTGGTTTCCATGCAAGCCAGAACGCCGCAGCAGCAGTCTCTGGCTTGGGAGGAATTTAAGCCGTCAGTTGAAGGGCCAAAGGGCACGCGGATGCTTGACTTGGCTGCGGAGAAATACAGCCCGGGAGATAAAGTTCAGGAAAAGAAAACCCTTGGCTGTCATCTGCTAGCTAGTTTTATGTTTGCCTGTTGCTCCGGCTACAAAGTTGCCACGACCATATATATTTTTTTTTAACCCTGGCTGCTACACTCCAGATTTATTTGTTTTTTGTTAAATTTAAATCAGTAACTGAAAAATAATCACATCTTTCTCCACAGAGACTGGGCTTTCCCCCTTCTCTCAAGATTCCCTACATACATTTTCCAGAGGTTATTGCTTTAGGTTCAAGAGATGGGTTTTACTCTAACGGAGCACAAATGGGAATGCAGGACAAAGCACAGTCCCCGTCCCCAGGAGACAACCTGGCAGTGACACGCGCTCCAGTGCAAAGGCTCAGCTCGTGGCAATACTATTTTGGCAGAGAAACGGAGGAAAGCCTCAGTCATTTAATTAAAAGACTTAAGAATATAAGTTGTCATCCTAAGGGCCAATTTTCTGACCGCTGGAGATCACTTTACAATTTAATTCACAACCTAGAAGTGAAATCTGATGACAGAAGAGTAAAGAGACTGTGTTTTCATTGAGGGAAGCACAGTTCTCTGGCTGTGCTGACCTGACAGTGGGGAATGATCTTCCTTAGCCAGGCATCTCCACCCAGCTCCTTTAGTGGACCTGCAAAGCCAACATACGTTTGGGAGATGACAGGGAGGTATTTTTGAGGAGGATTCACAGCAGCAAACCAGGCTACAGCACAGCCCCACAAACCGCTCCGTCAGCACAACCGCAGGAGCAGGGAACGGCGAGGCGGGAACTTGAGCTGTCTTGCAGCTACCCAAAGCTCCCATGCACTTCTACCTGGTACGACCTGCACCCAGGCATTTGGAGATTGGCTAAGAATAGAGAGGGGAAAAAAAAAAAACAACTTGAGACTGACTTTCCTCTGAGCTGCAGCTGCTCTTCCCTCCACTACTCAACAGGATGCTGCCGATGCAGATTTTTTTTTTGGAAACTTTGAGCAAGGCAGGAAGTTTGGCCCGAACTCCAGCTGTGCTTCCCTTTCCTTATGCAGGGCTTCAAAAGGAAGCTTTTATTGTATCAGGCAGTAAGACTCATCTATCCACAGAAACGTTCCTGCTAAAGGTTTTGAAACCCATTTTTTTTTCCTTATTAGGGACATGACAACTCATTCCTCCTCCCTCTCACCCCTCTTTCCTACAGGAAAAGGAGTGGCATAGAAAAAGAGTCATACCAAATCTGCAAAGATTTTGTTCTGACTTAGGGACTGCGGGATGAGCAAGCAACAGTCATTCAGCCTCCCAGTGGTGGAGCTTTCCAGCCTCTACTCATGCCAGACAGACTCTAAATCAGAGGGGAAAGGATTGGGCAACGTGGGCAAGTCCCATTTGACTGCACCAGACATGCAGCTCCATGGATGAACCTTCCCTTATTTCCTAAAGGCAGAGGATTTTGTCATTTACTGTAGCAACGAGAGAGCTCAAATTTCAACAGATTTTAGGGAAACACTCAGGATTTACACCTGCGTATTTCAAAATATGACTCCGTTCGGTAACAATTCCTACAAACCAGTTAGAAACAGAGACAAGCTCCTGTAAGAAAACACATCCCCTCCCATGAAGCCAGAAAGTAGTAGCTGGGCAAACCACGCGTTGTCTCCACTCTAGATTTTCAAAGGGTAATAAAATAACAGCTTACTGTGACTCAATACACTTCTTTGCCTCTGTGCAACACCTTTTCCTCCTCTCCTCCCCCCCGCCCCCCCGCCCCCAAAGCAACACTAATGGGTGTTTCTCCCCTCTGAGAAGGACCAGGTGCCAGCCTGCGAGACACCGGGCTAGCCAGAGGAACAGGCTGGGCTGGGGACACCTCTCCCACGTTCTCGCGCTGCCAAGTATCTTTCACAGAAAGAAATCCCACCCTGGTGCCTTCTGACCCCTCAGCTTTGACATCCCTAGAACCTCCCCGATGAAAGACAGTGACACCCAGCAGAACTTTAGGGTCTCTGCTAGCCACAAGACCAGAGGGGTTTCTCACCCCCTCCACACCAGTGTATCGCTATCACGAGTTCATCCACCCCCCCCATTTTTGCCTGGTTGTGGAGTTTACTTACATGGATGTCCTGTATTTGATGTCATCCTTCTCAGCCAGCTGCTCGCAGGTGAGGTTCATGTGCTCCTTCCACAGCCCCTGGCACTTCCGACACGTCTCCTGCGGAGGATAAGAAGTATTAAAGAACGAGAAGGCCCAGCACACCACTAACAGCACTAGGAACTGGAAAAATTCCCATCTCTTCCCCCATCACGCTGCAGGTTCTCAGTTGAGGATGGGGTTGGCAGTACGGTATAGAGGTCTGCAGGTCTGTCCTCCACCGAGAAGGAGTCTGTCAATAACAGGAGCCAAGGGGTTTTCAAGGTACAAGAACCCAGGCACTAAATGAGTTCGTAAATCCCAGTTCACCTAAAACTCATGGAACAGCTACCAGGTTCACTGGTTACCTCCCTGAGGAAGCTACAGAGATGAAAACATGGTGCGAAAGGACATCAAGTTTATCTGTTTCCTGACCAAAATCCTTCACCTTCATACAAAGGGCTTCT